GGGAATACATACAGTAATGTATCAGTGACTATAACCTCTAAATGTTTAAACTGATGATGTAACAGTGAGCTGGTGTTGAGATCATTTCTGGTCTGACGGCTCCTCCTCTGGTGGCTTCATGTTACAAGTGTTCAGGCTCTGAGGGGTTTTTGTACAGCTCTACTGATGGTGTGTGTCACAGTGTGTCTGGCACAGTAATACACAGCAGAGTCTCCAGGCTGCACGCTCTGTCCGTTCAGAGTCACTGTTTTGCTGGAAGAGTCTAAGTCGATACTGAACTTGCTCTTCAGTGAATCTTTAAAGTGTGTGGTGGATCCAGCAGCTGCCATTCCTATCCACTCCAGTCCTTTCCCTGCAGGCTGTCTGATCCAGGCTGTGTAGTAGCTGCTAACAGAATAAGAGACCTGACAGGTGATGGTCAGACGTTGACCTGGCTGCACAGTCACAGAGGCTGGCTGTATCAACTGCTCACACTTCACACCTGTGGAGGGAAACATGTTGAATAGTGAGCGAGGTTAATAACAGTGAGCAGTCAGTGTGAGCGTTCTGTCAGTGTCTCTGCCTCAGTGAGACTCACAGGATCCAGCAGCCAGCAGCAGCAGCAGAGCTACAGAGAACATGGTTGGTGTTGAAGGTGACCTGATGGAGCTTCTCTTCTTCTGCTGCAGCTGACAGCATGATATCAAGTCTTTATAGCAGACTGTGAGGAAGTTCACTTTGCATAGAGAGGGACACTGACAGGCTATAAAAGAGGGACGGACTGTCCTGTCGAGAGTTGTCATTTGGATTTGTGTTTGGACATATGATGTAACATTTATTTTTTAAAACAATAAATGAAAATTATCTTTTTATTTCTAATCAAAACTCAGACAAATAGTATATCTATTGTCTGATGTAACTTTTGGTAGCTGCTATCTGATGGAAGCAGTTTTATTGAGGCGATATTTCCTTCAGTGTTTTGATGATGTTGAGCTCAAGGTTTTTTTTACTGTGATTACCAGAACACAAAGTTTTGACTTTCTTTTGACTTGTTGAGTTTTTGTACAGCATTTCTCCTTCCTGTATCACTGTGTGTATCGAGCACAGTAATAAACAGCAGAGTCTACAGCCGTCAGACTGCTCATCTGCAGATACACCTGCTGTCTGTTGTTGTCTCTGGAGATGGTGAAGCGGCCTTTCACTGACTCAGAGTAGTAGATGTAGCTACTGCTATCACTGATAGTAGCAACCCACTCCAGTCCTTTTCCAGCAGCCTGTCTGATCCAAGCATTCCAGTAATTCTAATTACTACTAAACCCTGAATATGTGCAGGTCAGTCTGTGGGACTCTCCAGGCTTTTTAACCTCTGGTTCAGACTCAGTCAGTGTTTGACCCTCAGTACCTACAGACATGTAAACAGCTCATTAGTTTCTGTAATGCAGCCATATTGTCTTTGTACCAGGAGCTCTGTCAGAAAAACAGGTTTTGTTCTTACCTGCAGAGTTAAATGACAGGATGAGAAAAACCACCAGATAATCAGGTCTGATCATTGTGAAAGCCAGTTGTCTCTGTCCAGTCTACAGTGTGTATGTCAGTGATTTAGTGTCTGTCCTTCACTCTGCAACACATATGTAGAGATGGAAGAGGTCAGAGTTTGCATTGACTCCTCCTCCTCAAACAGAAACACAGCACATCCCCTGAATAAATATGATGTAGATTTCCTTTTTGCATACTATGATTGAATGTATATATATCCTTAAATTAAAAGGTTGAATTTCAAGTTATTTGTCAGTTCCTTTTATAAATAAGATGTAATCATTTATTCTGCTTTGCACAACATTGGTTGCCCATCCTCCACATACTGGAAACATCATGCATAAATATATTATTGATACCTGCTGTTAAGAAATTCATAATGGGATATTATTGTTGCAGGAAAGCCTCAAGACTTTCATAGTATACGTTTAGAGACATTGTCATATTCCCGTTATTGTCATCTGTCTTTTTATCCTCTACTGCCACCTGTTGGTGCTTGAGTGAGTAATGTGACTGACATTTCTACATTTAATGTTTCTTTTTGCCCATACATAAAAAATACATTTAGAAGATGTTTTTTCTGTCCTTGGCTGTTTTATGAGGAAATCATTTTTTTAAAGACTTTTTTTTAATTATTATTGTGTTTTGTAACTTGGCTCAGTAGCAACTGTTTTTTTCATTTTCATAAAAACTACAACAACGATTGATTTAGTCAATGTATAACTCTCCTTGTACTCTATCAACAAAGTACTGTATGGATGAGGACTGTAGGTTTTTGTACAGCTGCTCAACCAGCTTCAGTCACTGTGTATCGAGCACAGTAATAAACAGCAGAGTCTACAGCCGTCAGACTGTTCATCTGCAGATACACCTGCTGTCTGGTGTTGTCTCTGGAGATGGTGAACCGGCCTTTCACTGACTCAGAGTAGAACTGGTTGCTACCATCAGTGTAGATTAAAGCGATCCACTCCAGTCCTTTCCCAGGAGCCTGTCTGACCCAGTGCATCCAATGGCTACTGAAGGTGAATATTTTAAAACATTATTTCCTATAAATCATTTGATGTGATGCAAGTAACCTCTCAACTTTGTTCAGCTTGAATTTCCTGGACAATGTGAGCTGTTATTGTGCAGCCTTAGTTTGTATGTTTTACCAATATGTATGTTGAGAAATGACAGATGTTTTTGATCACTGCTATTATATATATATATATATATAAAATAAATTCTTGGAAAGGCAAGTTCTTGTTGGAATTTGTTCAACTTTTAATACAGTGGCTCTTGAGGTTTATCTAGTTTTGCATTTTAAATTTTAAGTGCTTAATCTGTGTACCCTGGATTACATTCTTCACATTTCTGGTAATAGTCAAACATATATATACGAAGGCAGTGTAGTTTAAATGAAATCTTTCAATCTGACTAATGTATAGGAAAAACATTTTTATATATCAATAATCCTTACAGGCGGTTTTATACTATATATATATATATATATATATATATATATATTTGAGATTGATATTCATAGAACAGTTTTTTCTGCATTTTAATTGTAATAAATACATTTTACAGAACATTTAAATTGCAGTATTTAGATGTTGCTTTCACCGTAAAACTCGTCATTACTACGGCAAAATACACTAAATTATACACAACTTTTGATTACAATTTGCGGGAAAATTCAGTTAAATTACAGCATTACACTGATGCTTTTACAGTTAAACAGTGTTATTTGTTTGGTATTTTTCTGTAAAATTGAATGGGATTCAATGTGCAATAGACAGCAACTGCATGTAAATCTTACTGAAATAATCAGTTTAATAGCAACGTGATCATGCTAATTCAGCAGAAAAGGGCTGTTGAAATGACAGATTTAAAATGTAAATTACAACAGTTTTAAACTGTAAAATATACACGTTGTTCTGTAAAGTTGTTTACAGTTTACCGTATTTTTTACATCATTATTCTGGCAACAAAGCTGCCAGGTTTTTACTGTAAAAACAATTTTTTTATACAGTCTATGGTTGCTACAGAGGATTGTGGGTAATGTAATGTCTTCGGCCATCCAAAACTCATAGAAAACTACTTGTTTCTCAGAATTGAAGGGGAAAACGTGACAAAAGCATTGTACACACACTAAAACCTATCAATGTCGTTTAATTAACAAGGATAATCTGGTGTTTTTGAGTTGATGAGTAGTGGAGATATCACTGTCAAATCAATCGACAGTAAGGAGAATACTTACTTCCGGGTGTACAATTCTCCGTTATCCAATGGGAATGGACGCTCACATTGCCTTTAACAGCCTCCGACACAAACGAATGCCGTGCTTCCCCAAGCGTCAAATGCCGACGCCGATGGGAATACATTGCAATCAGTTGAAAGCTCTTTGCGTCCATTTATGAAGCTGAAGGAGCCTCGGCGCGTCACAACTGGACGCCACGGGACCCTGACCAAGCGTCGCTTCTGGACGCTTAGGGAGTGAGAGTGTGTTGTCCAGGGAGCTTTACCACCGCTTCAGACTCAGTCAGAGTCTGACTGCAAACACCTGGAGAGAAAAGCAGCTTGATCACAACAGACCCAAACATAAAGCTAAGAAAAAGAAGAGTGCAGGAGTATGTACTCACCAGAAATCCATGAAAGCATCAGAAACATTAAACATGTAGCTAAAGTCATAGTGGAAATGTGTTGTGTGTGCTGCAGTGGTTTGAGCTCTCCTCTTCAGTTTGCTGTGAGATAAATAAAGATGGAAGAGATTAATATTTGCATTGGCTCCTCCTCTTAGTGCTGAAAATGAAGAATATTGAGATGAATAATTAACAGTTTAAAATGTTGATAATATTAAATTCTGATAACAAGAACAATCTGCCTAAACTGTTTTGCTGTTTTATACCATTCGTTATCAAACAAGACACACAGGAAGAAATGCCTGAGATACTGAAATATCTTTGAGGGAGAACTAAATGAACTCATGAATCTGCAGTGACTGCTGATCCAGCTCCTTTTTGTGTTATAATGAAGCAACCTCTCAAAGGGTGAGAGTATAAACCTGTAGTTCAGTCCAGGGTCTGAGTGTGAGTTAAGATCAGTGAGAGCAGCAGATCTGAGTGTTTCCTTTTACTGACAGAGGAGAGGGGAACTCAAGTTCCGTTTATGAGAGCAGCTGCTACATGATTTTACTCACATATATGCATTATGTGGCTGAAATGTGTTCATGTATTGTTTATTGTATGTGAGTAATGTGACTGACATTTCTATATTTAATGTTTCTTTTTGCCCATACATGAAAAATACATTTAGAAGATGTTTTTTCTGTTTTATGAGGAAATTACTTTTTTTAAAGACATTTATTTTTTATTATTGTGTTTTGTAACTTGGCTCAGTAGCAACTGTTTTTTCATTTTCATAAAAACTACAGCAAGGAAAGATTTAGTCAAAGTATAATTATCCTTGTACTCTATCAACTAAGTATGGATGAGGACTGTAGGTTTTTGTACAGCTGCTCAACCAGCTTCAGTCACTGTGTGTCGAGCACAGTAATAAACAGCAGAGTCTACAGCCGTCAGACTGCTCATCTGCAGATACACCTGCTGTCTGCTGTTGTCTCTGGAGATGGTGAACCGGCCTTTCACTGACTCAGAGTAGTAAATGTGGGCACTGCTAGTAGGGTGCATAGTAGCAACCCACTCCAGTCCTTTTCCAGGAGCCTGTCTGACCCAGGCCATCCAGTGGCTACTGAATGTGAATCCAGAGCCTGTACAGGTCAATCTGTGAGATTCTCCAGGCCTTTTAGTCACTGAATCAGATTCTGTCAGAGTCTGACCATCAACACCTGTCAAGAGGATAAAAACACATCTGGTGGAATAAGCTGGTGACACAATTAAAATCTGTGTTAGATAAAGATCAGTAAAGATGTTGACCTGCCCAGCAGACAGTGAGCAGCAGCAGTCCTGTCCTATAGTCCATCATGTTAAACTGTGTGTCCTCTGTCCTCTGTCCTCCTCTCTGCAGTCACATAAGTAGAGGGGGAGATATCTGAGTTTTGCATTGACTCCTCCTATAACTAAGTTTGTGTGTCTTTTTAAGAATAATTATGGAAGCCCATTTTTAAAGCGACAAAAAATAGACTTCATGTAAAGTATAATGATTTTGATTGCCAGAGGGACACACCTAGGCCTACTGTACATCCAATAATATAATAAACTAAATTATATAATTAACCATTAATCTCAGGTGTATTTGATTTAATTTGGGTTAGGGATTAGATGATCAGAGCTGCTTCTTTAAGGGAAACATTATTAATATATTATTTGTATTTAATCAACTTCTCCAATGTGTTTACGGTGGATTAAAGTTTGGCATTTAGCTGACTGGAATCAGCTGTTTGACTCCAGTGTTAAATATAGAATTTGCTTCATGTGGTTGTGGTTATGTTACAGTAATGTTTCAAATTCAAACAGATAAAACTTTCCTGATGATAATGTTTATGATATAATGATGATTTTTGTTCCATCGGCAAATCAAATAGTTGTTTTTTAATGTTTTATGTTATCAAATTGTGCATTCATTAATGTACTTCTAGAGATACATGGGCACAGTTTAACCATACTGAATCAGATAAACAGCTGCGTTGTTTGAAATGGGACTTTTTTATATTATCTGTGATACATTTTGTTGGAGGCACAAAAGACACAGAAATACATATTTTTCTGTTTGAATTCACTATATTTCTTTAGGTTACAACTGAATTAAACATTGCGTAAATTAGATGAAATAGGATGTCAATATTCAGTTACTCAGTATTTCAATATAAAGTGAATGCTCTCATGGGTGGTGGTAAATAGAGGAAGTAGTTTGTGTACGACTCTCCTGTTTCTGTCTCTCACTGTGTCTCTCTGGCACAGTAATACACTGCTGTGTCCTCTGCCTTCAGACTGTTCATCTGCAGATACACCTGCTGTCTGTTGTTGTCTCTGGAGGTGTTGAACCGGCCTTTCACTGACTCAGAGTAGTGCCAGCTGCTGCTAGCGATCCACTCCAGTCCTTTTCCAGGAGCCTGTCTGACCCAGTGCATCCAGTGGCTACTGAATGTGAATCCAGAGGCTGTACAGGTCAATCTGTGAGATTCTCCAGGCCTTTTAGTCACTGGTTCAGATTCTGTCAGAGTCTGACCATCAACACCTGTCAAGAGGATAAAAACACATCTGGTGAAATAAGCTGTTGACACAATTAAAATCTGTGTTAGATAAAGATCAGTAAAGATGTTGACCTGCCCAGCAGACAGTGAGCAGCAGCAGTCCTGTCCTATAGTCCATCATGTTAAACTGTGTGTCCTCTGTCCTCTGTCCTCCTCTCTGCAGTCACATAAGTAGAGGGGGAGATATCTGAGTTTTGCATTGACTCCTCCTTTAACTGTGTGTCCTTTTGCAAGGCCATTGATAAAGCGCCAAAAAGTAGACTTCATGTAAAGTATGAGGAAACCCTCCTTGCTTTACAGATTGAGGGGTAGTCCTTAACGTTTGATGAAATTTGGAGAATAAATGTTTAAATGTACAGCAATCACTCTCCATGTAGAAACAAATATGTGTTGGTGCATGTGTTGGATGATGGCAGAGAGACCCACCTACACTGTGTGCACACGTATTAGGCAAGTTGTACTTTTGAGGATTCATTTATTATTGAACAACTACAGTGCTCTCTGTGCATCACACATGTTAATAAACCTCAAATCTGGATATTTAAGAAAGTAAAAATGAGGTTTTGCCTTTTATAGGATAACATATGTGTGTACAATTATTGAGCAACTATTAGTGTGCAAACTTATTATGCAACTAAATAAAAAAACTAAAATGCTCCCGTCTCACTTTTTTATTTTCATCTGTTAAAGAGAGAATAATAAAACAAATAAAAATAATGGTGTTCTTGAAAGATGCAGACTTTTCCTGTACCACTTTCTTCTGACCCTGTTAACTATTTGCACCAAACGTTTGAAGGTTATGTGATCACGCCCAAATATCTGAGCAATCTCAAGAGTGCTGCATCCCTCTGAAATACGTTTTACAGTTTTGACTTTTCAGAGTCAGTTAAATCTCTTTTTTGACCCATTTTGATTGAGACAAAGGAACTGACTTATAATTGTGCACACCGTGATATAGGCCACACCCTCCCTCATTAGACATCACCTGATTTTAATCTCAATGAGACTTTTACCTGGTTAAATAACGGAGATATATATATATATATATATATATATGCTTAAATCCAATACGCATTCAAGTTTATACAGCTTGGAGTTACGAAATATTATGATATGGTCAAAATACTCACTTCAAACAGATAAAGCTTCCCTGATGATAATGTTTATGATATAATGATGATTGGTGTACAATCAGAAAAGTAAAACGATGTGTATTAATCTTATCAAAGTGTGCATTCATTAATGTACTTCTAGAGATACATGGGCACAGTTTAACCATACTGAATCAGATAAACAGCTGCGTTGTTTGAAATGGGACATTTTTATATTATCTGATACATTTTGTTGGATGCACAAAAGAAACACAAATACTTTTCTTCAAAACATACAAATTATCTGTTAGAATTCGGTATATTTCTTTAGGTTACAACTGAAGTAAAAATTGCGTCAAATGAGATAAAATAGGAAGTCAATATTCAGTTACTCAGTATTTCAATATAAAGTGAATTCTCTCGTGGGTGGTGGTAAATAGAGGAATTAGTTTTTGTACGACTCTCCTGTTACTGTCTCTCACTGTGTCTCTTCTGGCACAGTAATACACTGCTGTGTCCTCGGCCTTCAGACTGTTCATCTGCAGATACACTTTACTGCTGGAGTCATCTCTGGAGATAGTGAATCTACCCTGGACCGACTGGGAGTAATAGATAGAAGAACTGCCAGTGTTTATATAAGCGATCCACTCCAGTCCTTTTCCAGGAGCCTGTCTGACCCAGTTCATGCCGTAGCTACTGAATGTGAATCCAGAGGCTGTACAGGTCAATCTGTGAGATTCTCCAGGCCTTTTAGTCACTGGTTCAGATTCTGTCAGAGTCTGACCATCAACACCTGTAAAGAGGATAAAAACACATCTGGTGAAATAAGCTGGTGACACAATTAGAATCTGTGTTAGATAAAGATCAGTAAAGATGTTGACCTGCCCAGCAGACAGTGAGCAGCAGCAGTCCTGTCCTATAGTCCATCATGTTAAACTGTGTGTCCTCTGTCCTCTGTCCTCCTCTCTGCAGTCACATAAGTAGAGGGGGAGATATCTGAGTTTTGCATTGACTCCTCCTTTCTGATTGAACATTGTCCTCTTTTAACAGTATTTTATGTTAAAAACATTATCTCTACAATTTTAAATTGGTAAATATTTCTTATTGTGCTGTAAGTCACTTTGTAACATTTGAATATCGTTATGTAATTCAGATTTGTCAGATGAAACAAACAAATAATGGCTTTTAATTGATTAAAATAAACATTATTGTCATTAAAAAATGCTTTGAGTTAATTTAGTAAATAAATCACTTTACAGGTTTTATCTACATCTCATGTCTTTAACATTTATATTTTTAATCAAAAATTATGTTTTGTGTCAAATAAAGAACAGAAATGCATGCATTTGTTTTTGGAAAGAAACTCTGACATCCAACAATTTGTTGTTGTGTTTTGTCTCGTAGATGTACTGTTTAGTATTTGTGAATAAATAGTGTGAACAATATTCTTAGAGCTGAAATTGGTTGTAAAGAAACTTACATTTAGAGGACAAAATCCAATTACTGAAAATATATAATTATGGATACTTGAAAAGGCTGATGTTTAACAATTTAAAGAAGTTATTCATTTTTATTCTGGGAATACATACAGTAATGTATCAGTGAGTATAACCTCTAAATGTTTAAACTGATGATGTAACAGTGAGCTGGTGTTGAGATCATTTCTGGTCTGAGGGCTCCTCCTCTGGTGGCTTCATGTTACAAGTGTTCAGGCTCTGAGGGGTTTTTGTACAGCTCTACTGATGGTGTGTGTCACAGTGTGTCTCTGGCACAGTAATACACAGCAGAGTCTCCAGGCTGCATGCTCTGTCCGTTCAGAGTCACTGTGTTGCTGGAAGAGTCTAAGTCGATACTGAACTTGCTCTTCAGTGAATCTTTATAGAATGTAGCTCCAGTGTATTTGATACCTATCCACTCCAGTCCTTTCCCTGCAGGCTGTCTGATCCAGGCTGTGTAGTAGCTGCTAACAGAATAAGAGACCTGACAGGTGATGGTCAGACGTTGACCTGGCTGCACAGTCACAGAGGCTGGCTGTATCAACTGCTCACACTTCACACCTGTGGAGGGAAACATGTTGAATAGTGAGCGAGGTTAATAACAGTGAGCAGTCAGTGTGAGCGTTCTGTCAGTGTCTCTGCCTCAGTGAGACTCACAGGATCCAGCAGCCAGCAGCAGCAGCAGAGCTACAGAGAACATGGTTGGTGTTGAAGGTGACCTGATGGAGCTTCTCTTCTTCTGCTGCAGCTGACAGCATGATATCAAGTCTTTATAGCAGACTGTGAGGAAGTTCACTTTGCATAGAGAGGGACACTGACAGGCTTGAAAAGAGGGACGGACTGTCCTGTCAAGAGTTGTCATTTGGATTTGTGTTGGGACATATGAAATAACATTTATTTTTTAAAACAATAAATGAAAATGATCTTTTCATTTCCAATCAAACCTCAGACAAACAGTATATTTATTGTCTGATGTAACTTTTGGTAGCTGCTATCTGATGAAGCAGTTTTATTGAGGCGATATTTATTTCAGTGTCTTGATGATGATGATCTCAAGCCTTTTTGTGATTGTGAGAAGCAGAACACAAATTTTTGAATTTGTATTTGAACTTGTTGAGTTTTCGTACAGCGTTTCTCCTTCCTGTGTCACTGTGTCTCTCGAGCACAGTAATAAACAGCAGAGTCTACAGCCGTCAGACTGCTCATCTGCAGATACACCTGCTGTCTGTTGTTGTCTCTGGAGATGGTGAACCGGCCTTTCACTGACTCAGAGTAGTAGATGTAGCTACTGCCACTGCTGATATAAGCGATCCACTCCATTCCTTTTCCAGCAGCCTGTCTGATCCAAGCAGTATCAATATGACCACTAAACCCTGAATATGTGCAGGTCAGTCTGTGGGACTCTCCAGGCTTTTTAACCTCTGGTTCAGACTCAGTCAGTGTTTGACCCTCAGTACCTACAGACATGTAAACAGCTCATTAGTTTCTGTAATGCAGCCATATTGTCTTTGTACCAGGAGCTCTGTCAGAAAAACAGGTTTTGTTCTTACCTGCAGAGTTAAATGACAGGATGAGAAAAACCACCAGATAATCAGGTCTGATCATTGTGAAAGCCAGTTGTCTCTGTCCAGTCTACAGTGTGTATGTCAGTGATTTAGTGTCTGTCCTTCACTCTGCAACACATATGTAGAGATGGAAGAGGTCAGAGTTTGCATTGACTCCTCCTCCTCAAACAGAAACACAGCACATCCCCTGAATAGATATGATGTAGATTTCCTTTTTGCATACTTAAATTATAAGGTTGAATTTCAAGTTATTTGTCAGTTCCTTTTATTTAAATATAAATAAGATGTAATCATTTATTCTGCTTTGCACAACATTGGGTGCCCATCCTCAACATACTGGAAACATCATGCATAAATATATTATTGATACCTGCTGTTAAGAAATTAATAATGGGATATTGTTGTTGCAGGAAAGCCTCAAGACTTTCATAGTATACATTTAGAGACATTGTCATATTCCCGTTATTGTCACCTGTCTTTTTATCCTCTACTGCCACCTGTTGGTACTTGTGTGAGTAATGTGACTGACATTTCTACATTTACTGTTTATTTTTGCCCATGCATGAAAAATACATTTAGAACATGTTTTTCCTGTCCTTGGCTGTTTTATGATGAAATTATTTATTTAAAGACATTTATTTTGTATTATTGTGTTTTGTAACTTGGCTCAGTAGCAACTGTTTTTTTCATTTTCATAAAAACTACAACAAGGAAAGACTTAGTCAAAGTATAATTCTCCTTGTACTCTATCAACAAAGTACTGTATGGATGAGGACTGTAGGTTTTTGTACAGCTGCTCAACCAGCTTCAGTCACTGTGTGTCTCGAGCACAGTAATAAACAGCAGAGTCTACAGCCGTCAGACTGTTCATCTGCAGATACACCTGCTGTCTGTTGTTGTCTCTGGAGATGGTGAACCGGCCTTTCACTGACTCAGAGTAGTAGCTGCTGCTACTGCTAGTAGGGTGGATCAAAGCGATCCACTCCAGTCCTTTCCCAGGAGCCTGTCTGACCCAGTGCATCCAGTAGCTACTTAATGTGAATCCAGAGGCTGTACAGGTCAATCTGTGAGATTCTCCAGGCCTTTTAGTCACTGGTTCAGATTCTGTCAGAGTCTGACCATCAACACCTGTCAAGAGGATAAAAACACATCTGGTGAAATAAGCTGGTGACACAATTAAAATCTGTGTTAGATAAAGATCAGTAAAGATGTTGACCTGCCCAGCAGACAGTGAGCAGCAGCAGTCCTGTCCTATAGTCCATCATGTTAAACTGTGTGTCCTCTGTCCTCTGTCCTCCTCTCTGCAGTCACATAAGTAGAGGGGGAGATATCTGAGTTTTGCATTGACTCCTCCTAAAACTAAGTTTGTGTGTCTTTTTAAGAATAATTTTGCAAGGCCATTTATAAAGGGACAAAAAAAAAATATAATGATTTGATTGCCAGAGGGACACACCTAGGCCTACATCCAATACGATAATAAACTAAATTAACTAACTAACCATTAATCTCAGGTGTATTTGATTTAATTTGGGTTAGAGATTAGATGATCAGAGCTGCTTCTTTAAGGGAAACATTATTAATATATTATTTTTATTTAATCAACTTCTCCAATGTGTTTACGGTGGATTAAAGTTTGCCATTTAGCTGACTGGAATCAGTTGTTTGTCTCCAGTGTTAAATATAGAATTTGCTTCATGTGGTTGTGGTTATGTGACAGTAATGTTTCAAATTCAAACAGATAAAACTTTCCTGATGATAATGTTTATGATATAATGATGATTTGTGTTCAATCGGCAAATCTAATAGATGTTTTTTACTGTTTAATGTAATCAAAGTGTGCTTTCATTAATGTACTTCTAGAGATACATGGGCACAGCTTAACCATACTGAATCAGATAAACAGCTGCGTTGTGTGAAATGGGACAGCACACCTGAAATGTATATTTAAATACTTTATTAAGGGCAGTGAATTTATTTTTTCTGTATGTTTTTCAAATCAGTGTTATAAGTGTCATAGATAGAGTGAAATTGCTATTATTATCCTTAAAATATATGTAAAACAAAACCACTTATGTGATCTTTTTATTTGAGTGGTTTACTAATGACAGTTCAAGGTTCAAGGTTCAAGGTTCTTTATTGTCAAACTAACATAGCTACAGAGTAATTATGTCGTTGAAAATCTTATGTCCCAGGCTTCTCCAACAATGCAACATAATAATACAGATATTAAAAGTAATACAAAAAGAAAAATAGTTCTAAAATAAAGTGAGTATGTGGAATAGTGCAGTATGAGTCTATATACAAGTTATTGGAATGATATATATTAGATAGTAGATATATATTACTAAGTAGCAGATGAATGTTATGAAATTGTTTCAACAGTTCAATTTTTTAACAGTCTCACTGCCCGCGGGAAGAAACTGTCTCCGAATCTTTTTGTTTTTGCCAGGATGCTGCGGTAACGTCTGCCAGACGGCAACAGAAAGAACAGTTTGTGGCTGGGGTGATGGGGGTCTTTGATAATCCGTAGGGATTTCTTCCTGAGCCGCTTGGAGTAAAGGTCCTCCATGGATGGCAGCTCCGTCCTGGTGATGTGCTGTGCAGTTTTCACCACCTTCTGTAAAGCCTTACGATTGAGGTCGGTGCAGCTGCCGTACCAGGCCGTGATGCAGCCGTGATGCAGCCAGTCAGGATACTCTCTATGGTGCACCTGTAGAAGTTGCAGAATATCCTGAGTTAATTCTGTTTTTGCTAAAGATGGTTTTATTTTTGTCCTTTTCTCATGAGAAGAATTTGAAGAGTTTTTAATGTACCTACATCATTAGTTATGTTATATCATTAGATATTTTAATAGTGAAAAAGGGGCGACTTTTACAAAATATGAGCATTGCAATAAATGTAGTTAAGGCTCTGTTTAATGTTCAAGTGGTGGTATTGAATAGAGGAAGTAGTTTGTGTACGACTCTCCTGTTACTGTCTCTCACTGTGTCTCTTCTGGCACAGTAATACACTGCTGTGTCCTCGGCCTTCAGACTGTTCATCTGCAGATACACTTTACTGCTGGAGTCATCTCTGGAGATAGTGAATCTACCCTGGACCGACTGAGAGTAATAGATAGGAGTACTAGCTGTGTGTATGAAAGCGATCCACTCCAGTCCTTTCCCAGGAGCCTGTCTGATCCAGTTCCATACTGAGCCTCCAAAGTTGAATCCATATGTTGTGCAGGAGAGTCTGTGAGATTCTCCGGGTTTCCTGACTGCTGGTTCAGACTCAGTTATGGTCTGACCTTCAGCGACAGACCAAACAAACAGAGCAACCACCAAGAGTGTTAGCTTTCCCTGAGCCATGTTCACACAGTTTCTTGTGTTTTCAAAAGCTTGAGTCCCTCTTTAAATATGAAGTAAACTTGATCCCTTTGAGAATTCATTTGACGATTAGCTCCTCCTACTTTGCATTCTGCTTTAAAAGTCAAATTCAAGGCAAACAGCATTAAACATCATTTAAACTAGCAGCAAATAGTTATTTAAGGCAATTGTTGACAAACATGAACTGTTGATTAAAATACTATAATTATTATTTTTCAACGAAAGATCCAGTTGATTATTTTTTTTCTTGAATTTGACTATAACTCATATGAGTAACATCAAAGCTTTACTTCTAATCATTGTTTTAGTTGTAACAATTTGAAACTAATTCAGAAATTGGTTGAACGATATGTTTTGTATTCTTTTATGTTGTAGCTGCAATGAAGGAAAGCATGATGGTCTAAATGTTTACTTGTGTTTGCTGCAGCTGGATGAAGACCTGGGTTTTGTTTATTCTCTTACTTTAAAGGTTTCAGTATTCAAATAGTGGCAATTTGAGGACAGATACAGAGAAACTTGGAGCCTTGAGAGGACATAAACTACTAAGGAACTGAAACCTATTTGACAATGTGCAAAAACACATTTCTGCAGTGCATGAAAAATGCAAACTAAATAAGTTAAAAGACGTAGGATCTCAGATTTGACCATTTTCTAAATGTTAGCACATAAATGCTTTTTATGGTTCAGCTGCTGTCTTCTCTAAAGAGACATTTTGATAAGGCTCTGTTCTGCAATAAACATGATAACTCTATTTAGTGATATGATTTCTACATTCAGATATCTGTTAAGAAATATTTTTCTAATCTTACATTGTTTGGTGTAACTAAAGTTGTGTCATGATATTGAAAGACTCCAAATCTCACATTAACAGTGTGAGAAAACTGTGGTAATAATGAGGGGTTTTTGTACAGCTGCTCAACCAGCTTCAGTCACTGTGTGTCGAGCACAGTAATAAACAGCAGAGTCTACAGCCGTCAGACTGTTCATCTGCAGATACAGCTGCTGTCTGCTGTTGTCTCTTGAGATGGTGAACCGGCCTTTAAATGACTCAGAGTAGTACTGGATGGCACCGTCACTCTGGATATAAGCGATCCACTCCAGTCCTTTTCCAGGAGCCTGTCTGACCCAGTTCATATGGTAGCTACTGAATGTGAATCCAGAGGCTGTACAGGTCAATCTGTGAGATTCTCCAGGCCTTTTAGTCACTGGTTCAGATTCTGTCAGAGTCTGACCATCAACACCTGTCAAGAGGATAAAAACACATCTGGTGAAATAAGCTGTTGACACAATTAAAATCTGTGTTAGATAAAGATCAGTAAAGATGTTGACCTGCCCAGCAGACAGTGAGCAGCAGCAGTCCTGTCCTATAGTCCATCATGTTAAACTGTGTGTCCTCTGTCCTCTGTCCTCCTCTCTGCAGTCACATAAGTAGAGGGGGAGATATCTGAGTTTTGCATTGACTCCTCCTATAACTAAGTGGGTGTGTGTTTTTTTCAGAATAATTTTGCAAGGCCATTTATAAAGGGACACAAAATAGACTTCATGTAAAGTATAATGATTTTGATTACACGAGGGACTCACCTAGGCCTACATCCAATATGACAATAAACTAAATTAATTAACTAACGATTAATCTCAGGTGTATATGATTTAATTTGGGTTAGAGATTAGATGATCAGAGCTGCTTCTTTAAGGGAAACATTATTAATATATCATTTGTATTTAATCAACTTCTCCAATGTGTTTACGGTGGACTTAAAGTTTGTCAGTTAGCTGACTGGAATCAGTTGTTTGTCTTCAGTGTTAAATATTTAATTTGCTTCATTTGGTTGTGGTTATGTGACAGTAATGTTTCAAATTCAAACAGATGAAGCTTTCCTGATGATAATGTTTATGATATAATGATGATTTGTGTTCAATCGGCAAATCAAATATTTGTTTAATGTTTAATGTAATCAAAGTCTGCATTCATTAATGTACTTCTAGAGATATGTGGGCAGACTTTAACCATACTGAATAGGGCTGTGCAATTAATCGTATTTTAATCGCAATTACGATTTTGGCCTGCCACAATTACGAAAACAACATAATCGAAAAAAAACTATTATTTTGCTTTGCTAGGTTGTGACAGTGCACTGCAACATATTTGATCTCATTTATTTTGGTCTAATTTATTTGTATTTATCATATTTATATATGTTTAGTAGCTTGTGGAAGTCGCTCCAAAATATTTGTTGATCTTGTTTATTATTTAGTATTTCAATATAAAGTGAATGCTCTCCTGGGTGGTGGTAAATAGAGGAAGTAGTTTTTGTACGACTCTCCTGTTACTGTCTCTCACTGTGTGTCGGGCACAGTAATACACTGCTGTGTCCTCGGCCTTCAGACTGCTCATCTGCAGATACAGCTCCTGTCTGTTGTTGTCTCTGGAGATGGTGAAGCGGCCTTTCACTGACTCAGAGTAGTAGATGTAGCTACTGCCATCACTGTAGATATAAGCGATCCACTCCAGTCCTTTCCCAGGAGCCTGTCTGACCCAGTGCATGCTGTGGCTACTGAATGTGAACCCAGAGGCTGTACAGGTCAATCTGTGAGATTCTCCAGGCCTTTTAGTCACTGGTTCAGATTCTGTCAGAGTCTGACCATCAACACCTGTAAAGAGGATAAAAACACATCTGGTGAAATAAGTTGTTGACACAATTAAAATCTGCGTTAGATAAAGATCAGTAAAGATGTTGACCTGCCCAGCAGACAGTGAGCAGCAGCAGTCCTGTCCTATAGTCCATCATGTTAAACTGTGTGTCCTCTGTCCTCTGTCCTCCTCTCTGCAGTCACATAAGTAGAGGGGGAGATATCTGAGTTTTGCATTGATTCCTCCTTTAACTAAGTGTGAGTGTTTTTTTCAGAATAATTTTGCAAAGCCATTTATAAAGGGACAAACAATTGACTTAATGTAAAGTATAATGATTTTGATTGCCAGAGGGACACATCTAGGCAGTCACATAAGTAGAGGGGGAGATATCTGAGTTTTGCATTGACTCCTGCTTTCTGATTGAACATTGTCCTCTTTTAACAGTATTTTATGTTAATAACATTATCTCATCCAATAATGTTTTGTTGTGTTTTGTCTCGTAGATGTACTGTTTAGTATTTGTGAATAAATATTGTGAACAATATTCTTAGAGCTGAAATTGGTTGCAAAGTAACTTAAATTTAGAGCAAAAATTCAATTACTGAAAATATATAATACTGGATAATTGAAAAGGCTGATGTTTAACAATTTAAAGAAGTGTTATTCATTTTTTATTCTGGGAATACATACAGTAACGTATCAGTGATTATTACCTCTAAATGTTTAAACTGATGATGTAACAGTGAGCTGGTGTTGAGATCATTTCTGGTCTGAGGGCTCCTCCTCTGGTGGCTTCATGTTACAAGTGTTCAGGCTCTGAGGGGTTTTTGTACAGCTCTACTGATGGTGTGTGTCACAGTGTGTGTCTGGCACAGTAATACACAGCAGAGTCTCCAGGCTGCACGCTCTGTCCGTTCAGAGTCACTGTGTTGCTGGAAGAGTCTAAGTCGATACTGAACTTGCTCTTCAGTGAATCTTTGTAGTATGCTGTTGAACCTCGTCTCATTCCTATCCACTCCAGTCCTTTCCCTGCAGGCTGTCTGATCCAGGCTGTGAAGTAGCTGCTAAGAGAATAAGTGACCTGACAGGTGATGGTCAGACGTTGACCTGGCTGCACAATCTCAGAGGCTGGCTGTATCAACTGCTCACACTTCACACCTGTGGAGGGAAACATGTTGAATAGTGAGCGAGGTTAATAACAGTGAGCAGTCAGTGTGAGCGTTCTGTCAGTGTCTCTGCCTCAGTGAGACTCACAGGATCCAGCAGCCAGCAGCAGCAGCAGAGCTACAGAGAACATGGTTGGTCTTGAAGGTGACCTGATGGAGCTTCTCTTCTTCTGCTGCAGCTGACAGCATGATATCAAGTCTTTATAGCAGACTGTGAGGAAGTTCACTTTGCATAGAGAGGGACACTGACAGGCTATAAAAGAGGGACGGACTGTCCTGTTAAGAGTTGTCATTTGGACTTGTTGGACAATTATAAGGATACATTTTAAGTTACTAATCACTAACTTTTATGTAATCTTAAATCAGATGTAATCATTTATTCTGCTCAGCAAAACCCTAACCCACATACTGGATACATCATGCATAAATATATTATCGATACTTTCTGTTAAAAATTAAATAATGGGACAATATTGTTGCAAGAATGCCCGAAGTAAAATGTATATCTAAAAAAGGGGAAGTGAAATTCCACATCAGCCGTTGCTTTCATAGTGTGTTTAGAAAAGCTGTCTTTTTCTCCTTACTGTCATCTGACTTGTTATCATTCACTGCCACCTGTTGGTACTAGTGATAATAAATAGTTAGAGGTTTTTGTGAAGCCTCTGTGCTTCCTTTAACCAGTGTGTGTCTCTAGCACAGTAATACACAGCAGAGTCCTCTGGCAATAAGTTGGACAGCCTCAGATGCACCATGCTGTTGGTATCATCTCTACTGATTTCTACACGTCCATCCACACTGCTGGCATGTGTTTTTCTATCAGCCGAAGAGAAGCCGCTCCCTATCAATTCCAGAGGTTTTCCAGCAGGTTGTCTGACCCAGATCATAACACAGCAACTAAATGTCAAGCCAGATCCCCTGCAGGAGAGACTGAGAGTCTCCCCAGGCCTCTTCACTACTGAAGAGGGAGGAATAGACTCCATACTCTGACCTGTACAACCTGATACAAAAAGGAGAAAGAGAACCAAAGAAGACAGTGAGATATTTTAAAATGTTCTGGTATCACTGACTGACCATCAGTGGATGTTGTCTGATAAAAGATAAAACATCAAGAAGCAGGAGAGCTCACAGGGCAGAGAGAGAGCAACCAGCAGAAGAGAGAGAGAGTTGATCATCCTGAGACTGGAGATGTGACCTCTGATGCTCCACACAAAGCACAGATCAGTCAGACAGAAGTACTCTGCACACACTGGAGATTTGCATCAGGATAGCATGGGGAGCGAGGGGCTTTTGCAGGGACTGTTATAATTCATTCAACCATTGAGTCCGACTGCATCAGATCAATAATGTGCCTACCTTTGGAAACACAAATCAACATAATCTCAATCATTAATCGGCCCACTCAGTGTTCTTGATGTGTTTATTAGTGAGATCTTCACCAAACTTAGATTCTTCAGAGACTGAACCTACAGGGTAACTTTGAGAGGATGTATGTCTGACCCTCCTCAATGAGGTCCCTCAGGGGTGCGTCCTGGGTCCCCTCTTCTTCTCTGTGTTCACCAATGGCTCTGTCATTCTATAAATATCTCAATATCTTGTTTTCAATATAATACATGCAGAGGCCTGAGAAAACACATGTGGGGATCTCTACGTTATAATGATCACTCAAATGTTTTATAAGCGTAAGGAATTATACAAAATACCTCCAAAATAATATGATTTTGATTAATATTTCAAACAAAGTCCTCATATTTATGTTTTATTCTTTACAAGCCATATAACACAGAGAAGACAAACACATTTAGACATTAACAGTCTGCAAGGTTTTTGCATAGCTTCACTGGGGACTTCCACCAGTGTCGCCCTTTTGGGGTAACCTTTGTCACTGACTTTATTTTAAAACACAAAGACGTCTTGTGACAGAAGCATTGTGTGGGGAAGTATTTACATCTTGTGTTTATAAGATATCCTGATTTAAGGTGGAAAATGACTTGCACTCTCTATTGGTTAATGCCACTGACAACTGCAGTGGTTTTTGTACAGCTCTGTGGCTTCCTGTATCACTGTGGCCTTCGAGCACAATAATAAACAGCAGAGTCTTCTGACGTCAGGCTGTTCATCTGCAGATACACCTGGTCCACGTTGTTGTCTCTGGAGATGGTGAAGCGATTCTTGACTGGCGTGGAATAATATTTATTAGTTCCACTTGGAGCAGAAATGCGGGCAACCCACTCCAGTCCTTTTCCTTCAGCTTGTCTGATCCAGCTGATAGCAGCATCACTATCTGATATTCCTGCATATGTACAGGTCAGTTTGTGGGACTGTCCAGGGCGCTTTACCACCGCTTCAGACTCAGTCAGAGTCTGACTGCAAACACCTGGAGAGAAAAGCAGCTTGATCACAATAGAGCCAAACATAAAGCTAAGAAAAAGAAGAGTGCAGGAGTATGTACTCACCAGAAATCCATGAAAGCATCAGAAACATTAAACATGTAGCTAAAGTCATAGTGGAAATGTGTTGTGTGTGCTGCAGTGGTTTGAGCTCTCCTCTTCAGTTTGCTGTGAGATAAATAAAGATGGAAGAGATTAATATTTGCATTGGCTCCTCCTCTTAGTGCTGAACATGAAGAATATTTAAATTAATATTTAAATTCTGATAAAAATGAACAATCTGCCTAAACTGTTTAGCTGTTTTATATAGAATCCATTCGTTATGAAACAAGACACACAGGAAGAAATGCCTGAGATACTGAAATATGTTTGTGGTTTGAACTACGACTAAATTAACTCATGACTCTGCAGTGACTGCTGATCCAGCTCCTTTTTGTGTTATAATGAAGCAACCTCTCAAAGGGAGAGAATATAAAACTGTAGTTCAGTCCAGGGTCTGAGTGTGAGTTAAGATCAGTGAGAGCAGCAGATCTGAGTGTTTCCTTTTACTGACAGAGGAGAGGGGAACTCAACACTGACTGCCATCTAGTGTCTTTATGAGAGCAGCTGCTCCATGATATGCATTAATGGTGCTGAAATGTGTTCATGTAGTGTTTATTTTATTCCTATTATGACATTGATCTCAGCGGATTCTTTTTATTTTTTTGTCCTTGGCTATTTTGTTTGGCAGTGATCAATTCATATAGATTTTTTTTTAATTTCTTTAAATTGCTGGTAATTTATGATATCTCTCAAGGCTGCATTTCATAATTGTATTATATACAACCAAAGCAAAAGATAACTGAAGAATATAATTAATTTTAAGGGTCTATCTAAGACAAGGATGAGGTCTGTTGGTTTTTGTACAGCTGCTCAACCAGCTTCAGTCACTGTGTGTCTCGAGCACAGTAATAAACAGCAGAGTCTACAGCCGTCAGACTGTTCATCTGCAGAGACACCTGCTGTCTGCTGTTGTCTCTGGAGATGGTGAACCGGCCTTTCACTGACTCAGAGTAGAACTGGTTGCTACCGTCACCGTAAATAAAAGCGATCCACTCCAGTCCTTTCCCAGGAGCCTGTCTGACCCAGTTCATCCTGTCGCTACTGAATGTGAATCCAGAGGCTGTACAGGTCAATCTGTGAGATTCTCCAGGCCTTTTAGTCACTGGTTCAGATTCTGTCAGAGTCTGACCACCAACACCTGTAAAGAGGATAAAAACACATCTGGTGAAATGAGCTGTTGACACAATTAGAAGCTGCGTTAGATAAAGATCAGTAAAGATGTTGACCTGCCCAGCAGACAGTGAGCAGCAGCAGTCCTGTCCTATAGTCCATCATGTTCAACTGTGTGTCCTCTGTCCTCTGTCCTCCTCTCTGCAGCCACATAAGTAGAGGGGGATATATCTGAGTTTTGCATTGAGTCCTCCTCACAGGGTTTGTAAAAAATATCAACCCTCCATCTCAGCAGTTTAGACTTTTCTCTAACTAGTTTTAAGTTGTGTAGAATAATTGTATTGCAGTAACTACATAATCACATTTCTTCTAATAATACACAAATGATTATCTTAGCTTCGACATGTGACACATTTATCTAAACAAATTATATATATATATATTACATAATTCATGTTGGTATCAATGCTCTGTTTCTCATATGTCAGTTTGAGCATAATGGAAGCACATTTACTATAATATAAATTATCTACAATTTTGTTCTGATAGTAAATGGTAACCATACTTATATAGCGCTTTATCCATCTTTACGACCCCTCAAAGCGCTTTACATACTACATGTCATTCACCCATTCATACAGAGCAGTGTACCTTACTCTCGGAACTAACATTCATACACACTCACACACCATTGGCCATGCCATCGGGAGCAACTCAGGGTTAAGTATCTTGCCCAAGGATACATCGGCATGTCGACTGCACGGGCTGGGATCTAACCCACAACCTTCTGATTGAAAGGCGAGAGCCCAATATATAGTAGTGTTTAGGAAATGTGCTTTATTCTCCTCTCAAATTTCACCTTTCTAATAATCTAGTCACCCAGCCAAGCTCTCTGTCTGATCAAATATTGTTTTTCAGCTTGTTTCTCTTTTCATATTCAATGTATTTTGTGGCTTGTATTTATAAATATGACATATTTATCAATTTAATTTAATATCAATAATAAGATATCATGAGGGTCTATCTGGTGATTAATGGGAAACACATAGAAATCTGATGGGGATACATCATCCAAGTGTTATTGCAATTTGTGAGAAAACCCAGAAGTGTGTAGGATCACATTGCTTTGTGGTTAGTGGAGGTTTTTGTGCAGCTGCTCCACTGTCTTTAGTCACTGTGTGTCGAGCACAGAAGTAAACAGCAGAGTCTCCTGCTGCCAGGCTGCTGACCTCGAGGTACTGAGTGCTGCTGGGAACATCTTCAGTCATGGTGAAGCGGCTCTGAAAGGAGCTGCCATAGATAGGAGAGTTTGAACCTGTGTTCATCCTCCCAACCCACTCCAGAGCTTGTCCTGGCCTCTGTCTGATCCAATGAATATTATAGCTTCTCATTGTATAACCAGATATGATACATGACATCTTCACTGTCCCTCCAGGTCTTTGCACCTGAGAGGAGGACTGCTCCAGTTTGATCTCACTCCAGACTCCTGTAAGTAAATCATTTTTGCTCATTATCCATCATTTCACCAAAGAAATAAAAAAAAGAAGTAAATCAGAAGTGATGTTTC